GTAAATTTAATATATTTGGTTCTGACGGTAGAAACTTGGTGTGGAGAAAACCCAGGAAGAATTTCGCAAACAGAACTTGGTGCCAACAGTAAAACATGGTGGAGGAGGAGTTAAGGTATGGGGGTGTATGTCGTCCGCTGGAGTTGGTAATTTTGTTTTTATTGACAGTATAATGGATCAGTAGAAGTATATTGACATTTTAAATCAAAATTTGAAATCTTCAGCGAAAATTGAAACTTCATAACGATTTTAAATTCTAACAGGACAATGACCCCAAGCACACTGCTTTGAACGTTAGACTCTGGCTGCTGTATAACTATCCTGAAATACGAGTAATAAAAACATCACCACAATCTCCAGACTTAAATCCCATGGAGAATATTTGGCAAGAATTCGAATCAAGAATTCACAAACACACCATTTCTTCAAAATAACAACTAAATTCGGCGCTTCAAGAAGAATGGGATAAAATCACTCCAGAAATCCCCAAAAAATTAGTCGAATCCATCTCAAGAAGATTAAATCATGTTTTAAAAAGTGAAACGAAATCCAACAAAGTATTAAAACCTTTTAAAAAGTAAATTTTTTGGATAAATATTTGATGGAAAAGTAAGTGTCCCATCACTTAAGTGAGCCATTTTTTGCTCCGTTCTAAACAATTGTATTTTTATTAAATTAATATTTTAATGTTTTGAGAAAATTTTTGTTATGTAATAATTGTTAATAAATTTAAGTATGAAACACACTCACAAAAAATTTGTACATGTTTTTTTTAATTTATTTTACTACAGTTTCCTTTTGTAAAGCACAAGTGTCCCATCACTTTTGTGAGACACTGTAACTTCTTTCCATTTTATTTATATTAAAAAACAGAAAAAAATTGTTGCTTTCTTATAATAATGGAATTAATAGAAAGAAATTATTAATAGAGTAATTAAGAGAAATAATAATAAATGTTTATAATAAAATGATGATATTCTTTTTGGCAACAGCATAATGAAGAATGCAAATATTGAATTTTTGTGCTGATTTTTACCATCTTAATTAATATGGTGTATAATTAGTTTTAATTCGTATTTAATTTTATGCTGATTTGGTCAATACATTTGAATAATTTTATGAGGCTGCTTCTCTGTTATAATGAGTTAATTGTGAGTACGATACATAATATAATTAAAATATTTGTATTAATTTCACAGCGTTACGGTCTGTTACTTTAAAAGAGGAATTTAATGTCACTTTCCTCCACTTGGATTGCCTCGTAACTATGGGAACGACCACCACGCAGATGGTTTGAGTCGCTTAATTTATTCAACTATTCAGTTTTCATGTAATATGTTTTGCAACATGAAAAGCGACGAATGAAGGCTGGTTTGATTTACAGTCTCAAATGAGGAGAAACTAAGCTGTGATGATCATACGAGTAGTTTTCCTTAAAGTTGTATCCTACAAAACGCACCAGTTGTTTTGTACTAAAGAGTTTTTTATATGCTTTCCTACAAAGGTTACGCGTTGTGGTCGCAAACGAGAAAAGCTGTCAGTGACGTTGAAATGCCTATTTTAAAGAAACAGAATATAACGTATTTTTTGGATGACTCTGCTTCGTAGAAAAATTATACGTAACTGCTATTTCTGGTTTTGCTTTAATATTAAAACTGGTAAGTACTTTATGATATTTTTTGGTAACAGAATATATTTGTATTTTTATCAAGCATTCATTGCAATGCAAATATATTACAGGATAATATTTGATTCTTTTTACTTCCTTGTACAAAGTAAAAAGGAAGTATTATAATCGCGAAAAGTTTCAGGCAGCATATTTCAACGAAAATATCCATTTTGACCGCTATCGAATGCAATATAACGATGTTTTTGTGTGATATCTGTACGTAAGGACAGAATAAAATACTCTTTTCCTTCAAAAAAATTATAAAACTGCTTTAAAATTAATTCTGAAGAGAATTTTTCGTGGCGTCTGTACCAGCGAAACGTATCTCGCATAACTCAAAAACGAGTAGCCTCAGAACGTTGAAACTTTGTATATAGGACTGCTATAACATGTAGATGTGCACCTCGTATTTTGGTTGCAATCGGCCGCACCAAACGTATATAAATATATTTTTATATATATATATCCCCTCTGTTACCCGGCTCAGTAATCTCAGTTTCTTCACGCTTATATGTTTGTAAATTGTACATTTTTTGCTTTAAAAGTGACTGAATTATGTTGTTTTTATCTTCCGGTTAAGGTTTTATGCCATTAGTAAATCTGTATGCAATATTTTTAGAATTATCAACAATTTTAAAGTTGTTTAATTGAGGCTAAGCCTAATAATTTTTTTGATGGCGGCTATTGCTTGTTTACATTTGAGGCAGCAGAATAGTGGATTTGTTGCCAATCTAGGGAAACTTAACTTCGCAACAACAAAGATAACGCCTTCATTTATTATTTAAATCATGCTTAATCCTTTCTGGAATTTTTTCGAGGAAATAAGCGTTTAAGATTTACTTCCTAATTTTTAATACAGATATTTTGAGTTTTTATGTATTTTTGCCTTGTCGCGAAGTGAGAGCTGAATTAATTAAATGAGAAATACGCAATCGTCTGTGAAAAACAGTTTCTTTTTTGTTTTGTTTGCTTAATTTCTTTTATACATCATTCTAGCTTTATTTGAATAAAACATGTGGCAACGATTAGATAATTCTATTCTTTAAATGATATAAATTTTGTGCAGTATGAGTTATAATATGAACGAAATATATAAGTTAACTGTTATATAATTGTTGGATTATATAACAGTTAACTTAGTTTCCGTAATAAAATTATTATATAAGTTAACTGTTATATAATTATTAATACTGTTAAGTGAATCTAGCGCCAGAGTGTCGCTATGGTAAACAAATACTAGAGTGAATTTTAAAGAATGCATTTATTCTATTGTGGTTTATGCGCTGTCAGCGAAGTAGATTTAATTCAGTTCAATAAGTTTAAATGAAATGCAAGAAAAAATGCGTATAATTTAATATTCCAATTTAATATTCCAATACAAGTAAGTCATGTGGTGTACACATCAGATTTTTTCTTTTAGACAATATAAGTGACAAAATCAATTTCAATACTTTATAAATTATTCATTCAAACGAACATTTACAAATTTTTCTTCATTCTAGTCAAAGTACAATTAATATTTCTGTTTATTCTACTTTCTAATGAAAAAATTTATTATTATTATTTATTTATTAAAAATCAAATATTACTTTTTATTCTTTAAAGCGCATTTGCTGAAACTTTTTTGCTATCTGTTTCAGTTTTCTTTTCCATTTGTCTCGATTTAAAGCGCAATTATTATCTTTTGTATTCCAAAAAATAACAAATGCTGTTTAATACTATTATTTCTAAATTTCTGATTTAATTCATGGGAGAATACTTTCTATCGGAACGAGTTTGGTAACACTCAAAGAGAAGCTTTACTTTTCCATGCCGCAAAATGGCGGTTTTAAAAGGAACAAATGTAAATTTAAACTAATTTGAATATTAATAAATCCTTAACCTGTAACATATATTAGACTGTACTCCGGTTAGGGGATAGTTGGATTACAATACTTAGGGAATGGATATTACACTAGTCTTAATCATAAGATTTGATTCTTTTCTAAAATCAGATTAATAGAAGGCATAATAAATAATTCGAGATTCAGATTAGGTTTAGAACATGGTAAGTTTTCGAACGGATTAGATTCAGTTTAAGTTTTATGACAGAGATTAGATTTCAGAGTAAATTACATTTTAAAAGAAATCAGATTTTTAAAAACAGATTGGGTTCAAATTGAACATTAGAGAGAAGGTAAGTTTCTTTAATTTGTAATATTTTTCTCTGTTAATTTGTAATAGATCTGATTTCAGTTTACTGATAGAACATCAGAATTGTTGCGCATCTATTACATTCTCCTAAATAGATGAATTATTGCTTTTGAAAGACATGAATGATAACAATGACATTTAATTCTAGCGATGCAAATGAGTATTATTATCAAAAGATCATTACAAATGTTAAATAATGATGTTGTGTTAATAAAAGGTTATATATCAAGTAAATTACTGACTCTAGAATGTTTTAAAATTGCAAAATATAATAAATATAAACACTAAAGTGAAGTTTGTAAAAACCTAGAAATATTAAGCATGATTTCGACATAAACAAATAATAAATATATAATATATAATACATATATAACACTGAAATGAACATTGTAAAAACCTATAAATAATAAGCATGATATCGACATGAATTAATTATTAAATAAATTAATTAAAATAGTATCAATAATATATCATAAAATATTCATTTAATTAAAATAGGACAAATTAAGTAATTGGTACTTTTCCGTTTCGCCGGCGCAAATCTCGCCAAGCAGACTTTATTGGCGACAACATACAGTATACACATAAAAAATATTTAAAAAATGTCAGTTCTAAGAATTCTTTTTTTGAAGACATAAACATTTTAATATCGCTTAAAATTTTATAAAAAGCCAATAAATAAAGACAATAAATTTGTAAAAAGATATTAATTTAAGAATTTTACTATACTTTTATGGTTCAACATCCTGATTCGCCAGTTCATATCACGTGACCCCAAGCGATTTCATCTCACGTAAACTACTCTACAAAAATCTAATGCTCTCAGCAATTATCTACATTAATTTCAAGTTAAATCTTAATTTGGAACACAAGTTTAAATGCAAGAAACATTTCAATTCGTACGAATAGCTTACTCAGAAATTATGTAAAACTGCAGTGCTTTACTTCGCTAATGCATTCTCATTAGAACTGATGAATTTAACCCTTGACTTTACCTTTTCTATATTTTCGGCTTCGGGTAAGCGCTGTGATTGCATCCTGATTGACTTAATTACCGAAAATGGCCTTAGACATAAAACTTAACTATTTGATAAAAATTATGTGTAATTATATGCCAGTATTGAAAGAAACAATCAATATGGTAAGAAAAAGCTGCGACTTGTTTTGAAAATGAGGCGTAAAAGGTTACCAGCGAGAATATTCCGTTTGGCATCGGTTGTACCATTATTGGCGACTTTATCGCTTGCGCCGGCAAAACGAAAAAGTACCAAGTAACTTTAACAATAATCAGTGAAATTTAGTAAATTCTTAATCATGAATACAGAATCGCCTTACTACAATAACAAGAACAAATAGTATCTTGAAGTTTCAGGAAGTCGGTCACTCAAACCCGTTGCAGGTACGAAAGATGAATAATAGCTGGATACACGTACTTTTCTTGTTAGTCATGATTTTTTATTTTGAATTTAAATTATCCCTCTTAGATGTAAACTTAAGAAAGGATACGTAATATTTAAATGTACGTTAAATAATATATCATTGCCCGTTTATGCAAATGGCAACGCCAACTTGCATAGCTGGAGAATGCGCTGCGCAAACCTAAAATATGTAGGAAATGATTCATATTCTTGTGCTAGGTATACATTGAATGATATCTAAGTGAAGTTCTTTCTTCGCCAATAATATTTTTGCCTTTTAATATAGAATTCGATCTTTGCTTTCAACCATTTTCATCATCTGGTCCATTCGATCTTTGCTTTCTACTATTTTCATCATCATTACTGTACTACATTTTTAAATCACACAGGTGTGGTAGGCTTATTTAAAATATTCAGTTTCTTAGTTTCAGATGTTATTTTCTAATATTAATTTCAGCAGCATCGTGGACCCCATGTGGCTTTTGCATCTGGTACTATATGTAGTTCTCTGACGGCCATGATCATCTGACCATGTAATGTGGCAAAAGCCTGAGCTACTCTTCTTCTTCGGTTAGTTACAGAAACACATGGCATATTGAAAGGATCAGTGCATCCATACAAATATACCGAATATATTTCCGATGGAGCAAGGAATAGGGTTTCGTGAAGAATGAGATCAGATTCGTGCCAGGATTCGTACTCCCCGGATGTACTCAGCTTCCTTTGTGTACAGCGATTCCAGCATATTCTTTGTCGTAGGATTTCACTGCCATCAGTTTCCTTAAAGATTCGAATAAAAGATTCAGACCTGAAAAGAGCGTCAAAACTTCTAGTTAAAACAACAGTAAAGCTTATAACTTTATTAATAGATGTATTTTTAGTTCGCATTATTGTGAACTACAGGCTCGTAGACATTAATGTCTAGGATTAGGTTATTTAATTCTAGCAAAGCATTCGAGGGCTATCTGCTTAAGGGGACTCATACACTTTAAACCCCTCATGATCTTCGAATATGTGACATTTGCAAAAATTGGGATATTTTAGTAATATTTTAGTTATTTTAAAAGCAATTACTTCCAACTTTTTACAGCTGACTACATAATATAGCTGCTTTGGAAACTAGTAACCAGAAAGTTTGTGTTGCCACAAATATTTTTGCAATTTAATCCTCTTTGTGACACAATATTTCGCCATGTTTCCACCTTGCGCGCATGATATTTTAAAAATGGCTAATGGTACATTCTTGAAATTTGATAGACTTCTTTATATGGGCACTATTTTCTAACTGAACCAACAATCTGATGAATATTTTAATGCTTTAAAATTTTATGGACGAAAACATTACAAATTTCGTTAATAAAATACATTTTATAAACTCAACTCCAAATAAAATAAAAATTTAACATGAAATTTTTAGAATTTTAGGTTCACAGTAATTACCAAATGTTATAAAAGCTATATATTAAGTATGGAATTAAATTATAAAACAGAATGTTTTAAACTGTGCGTGCAAGTTGGAAACATGGCGAAAAATGTTGTCACAAATCAGATTAAATTATAAAAATATTTGTGGCAACACAAACTTTCTGATTACTATTTCAGAAAGCAGCTATATTATGTAGTCAGCTGTAAAAGGTTGGTAGTAATTGCTTTTAAAATAAATAAGTTATCCCAATTCTTGTAACAGTCACCTATTCAAACATCTTATGCGTTTTAGGGTGTACGAGTCCCCTTAAGGGAATGGATTCCTTCGTGGAGGACTTTCTAAGGGAACTGGCTCGTATACACGTTACTCATTGGAAAAACCACGAAAATGCTCGTACAGCCAGCCCGCTTGCGGGATTTAAACCCCCGACCGAACTACCAGAGTTTTAGTGACTGTACCGCTCTTCCGCTGGTGAGACCCTCCTTAATGTCTATTCCAGATTAATAAGAAGAAAGTGACATTTTATTGAAATTAATAACTGTCCACACAGCACTATGTATAGCTCAAGATTCAAAACAGGGATAATGCAAATTTTTCTTAAAACATGAGGATTGTCTCAAATTAGTAAAATTATTCACGGGCAGAAGTTAAAGCTCACTTCCAATCCCAAGATATCGAACTGAATTACTGAACTTCATGAACTAACTGGCACTCGGTTTCAAAATACCCATATTTATAGGGATGCCCAACACGTCTAAACGTTTCGAGAAAATTCGCTTCTGATATTCCGAAAATGCACTTTTAAGAAATTCTCATAATATTACCAAATGTAAACTCCCTAAATGTCTAAACGCCATCTGAAGACATTCTGCTCTAATTCCACGTTCTAATAGAATTACATCAGAACCTTCACAATTCAAATGTCTGTTAACTCATACTTGCAAGATCCACAGCATAATACGCAAAATAATCGAATTTTCGATCCCTCTGAACAGCAGCATGTGACCGAAACTTCGATTAAATAACGACACACGCTAAAATGTTTACACAAAATGCACCAAACGGAAAATATATTAACCCCATTATAAAATACATAAAGCCTATAATTCAGTTAAATAAATACAAATATTTATATAAATTTATAACTTTATTGTGCGTTCATGTTTCCATTGTAGTAGTTTGGCTCGGGTTCGAATCCCGACGAATGCGCTGCCTGCATGGGCATTTTTGTGGTTTTTCTCCTTGTGTGAAGTGCATTGATCCAGTTTCCCTTAGAGAATCCTCCACGAAGTCCTCCCTCCCCTTAAACAGATAGCCCTCGAGTGCTTTATTGTAATCCAATAAATCAAAAACAAACCTGCTTTCATTGTCTGATGCACTGAGAGACGAGAAAAAATATTACATTCTTAAAAGAACAAATAAGTAATAAATTTTATGACTTTATCTATGTAAATCTATGTAAATAAAGTTTAATCTATGTAAATCTATGTAAATAAAGTTTTAATTTATGTTTATAATTTAATCTATGTAAATAAAGACTATCCAATCTATGTAATAATCTATGTAAATAAAGACATAATCTATGCAAAATCTTAATTAATCTATGTAAATAAAGACGTGTGCCCGTGTGTTTGTAATTCATGTAAATCTACAGTTTTATTTAGATATTGATGATATTTGGCACACTTTTCAAAGAAAGAGGAAAGTCACTGTCTATCTAATATTTTGAAAAACCATTCCGTGGGAGTCCACACTGTTTTATACATATATAGATTTTGAACCAATTTAATGAACGTTTGATTAAAAATTCAGGGATTTGAAAGCAAGTATATACATTTAATATAATAACAAATTAAAGATTTTTGTAAAATAAATATCAAGTATCTGTAATTTTCAAGAGTAAATGCTTATTAAAAAGCGGAAGCACATTAGAAATCGAGAGCAGTCATTCGAACTAAACACTTAATAAGACGTTAGGCTTAGCTATCCACGTTAGGCTTAGCTACAGAGTTAAAAAAGTTCTTTTAAAAACTGATTTAAATTTTTAAACAAAATGAAAATTACTAATATTCGGTAATAAAGTAAGTATCAAATATAACATGGAAAAATTCCATGGAGAATATAAAGAATACGCACAAAAAACACCACCTTTAATGTAGAGCCAGGTTACGGAAGAAGGAAAACCAATCTGACAACTGAGTCTTCAACTTCCATAGAAAGACAACGAAGAATCAGACTTAAACCGTCTTAAAAAAACTGCGAAATTATTTTCGTAAGGTATGTTTCAATGATTTTTACAACTAATAAATTATTTAGTGAATTTCTGACATTCACAAAGTTGTTAGTGTTTTTATTATTCCTTGAATTTTTTTCCGATATTTCGCATTTTTGAATGGAGCTTGGGAATAAATTAAAATTCTTCCTGTGATAACCGGTGAGTAATAACGTTACACGTAACGAACGATTTCTCTAAATTCCTCAGAAATTCCTATCTAGGATACGGTTTTCAAGAAATTTACTGTGTAAAATATTAGCAGACTAAAAACGACACCAACAATGAACCTAATTTAATATTTGTCATACCGATAATATTTCGCTAAGAGACAAAAGAAGCTTGTTAATTATTTTAATAATCTTGTCATTGCCAGGGTCCTTGCACCCGAAAATCGAGTACAGAAATTCAAGTTTTGTAGACCAGAAAACTAATATCAGTAGTGTTCTCGATGGGACTCCCACAAGAGATCTTCCAGTTACTTTGTAGAAGTGCTACACATTTCCACCAGGAAAACACGTACAAGAAAATGTGATCATTCCACAATTTCTCCCTCATTGCAAATATACATGAGATCCTATCGAGGAAATACAGGAGGTAACGAGTCACTCTCCATCAAGTATTTGTATGTTGTACTGCATAAAGACTATCAGTAGTTTCGAAGGAGGTGTCAGGACTTGTGTTTCTCTTAATTTGCTTTGGAAACATAAATGATCCTGAATAGCAACTGGGAGCTTACTCAAGCTATGTTCAAGAAGGTGGGAAATAGACAACACAAGCAGGAAGGGTATACGAAAAACCCTTTATTTTCAATACTTTACAGGTATTTCCGAACTTCGGAATACAGAGACCAACCACTCGTGGTCTGAACGTAAGAATATAAAAACTACTAAATAAAACTCTAACTAAAAGCTAACTTTGAATTAGTATACAAATGCCTAGTACTAAGACTGGCCTTTATTTAAAAAAAGGTTCGTATGTAATACGCCGAGCTGCTAAAACTACGATACGTCTGCAAATATCAAGAGGGCAAAACCTCTGGCCTTAAAGGCAACCAGCAACCGAGTGAAAACTCGTAAAACTACGGTGACAAGCGGCTTGCTTTCTAAAAACTCCTTCTCTCTCTCTCTTGGCAAAAAGCCACAACTTGGGCGTTAGCAAGACAATTTGCATAAACAAGTTAAAGCATTTAATTCTGGCCGGAAGTAGAAAATAAGAAGAGATAGTACAGTTTTAAAATAAAATAAACGTTAGTAAAACTTAGGATCCTTACAGAGGAAGCATTAAAAATCATCTATGGCCTCTTTGGATTTCGAATTTTCACAGATTCTCCAACGGCTAACTGAACGTATTAACCACTTACGACAAATGATCACGTACGATGGAAAGTATTTTCTCGCCCACATAAAAGCCGACAAGGGAGAAAGACAGCACCCAGTCGACCACACGGAACCTGTGATAAATTATTGTCCACCCCATTAGTTTGGGTATCACTGTAAAGGTTATTAGCTTTTAATAACTCCAATAATTGCGAAAATAATGTATTGTCGACAGGATTCGAATCATGGATCTTCCACTAACTAACTACCTAGGAGTAGTAACTACTAGAACTAATACCAGTACCACTTACTAGCTTCCCCTTCCGCCACGGGAAACTGTATGATATAATATGATAATTTATGACATATGCAGTCGCGCGACTGTCAAGGTTCAATGCTATTCCCGTCTTTTTCTTCTTGTCTCACAGCAAGTTTTATTTTATTGAAACTGTCTCTCACTTTTGTTTTGAGTCAGCGCTGCCCTACTTGCTAATATTTTAAATCCTGGTTCCTCTCCCTCCTATTGATTCCATTGACTCCCCCTCCCATTGCCGATTTGACTGCAAAGTGGTAATCTCTACATATAATAAAAGAAAGAGTCTGTGTGTGTGTTTCGCTCGTGCTGCGCGTAAGCTAATAGACCCAGGGCTACGAAATTTGGTACATAGGTGCATCTAGACAAGAGCCAGTGCAGATCGAAGCGATTTTTTGAAAATTCGAATCAGATTTTTTTATTCACCTTTTCTTTTGATGAAATCACATCATTTTGAATAGTTTCATGCTTTTAGAAA